TGAATGACGGGGGCGAGAGAGAGGGACAGCGGGGGGGGGGGGGAAGATGCGTGGGGCTGATGACCCACAGAGGGAGCTCCAGCGACAACTGGTTTGGTCTGGATTTACGATGCCACGCTAAGTCGCGAGGCTGGCACACTGCCAAAAATGAAAACAGCTGTTTGCGTGGCGAGCTCCTTAGGCTAGGTCAGCGGCCGGCGGCGGCGCGGGCGCCTGGTGGGATTGTGCTAGGCGGGACGAACGGGTTGGGTCCTTACTCGCATTCGCTGTCGACGACATGGACTGCTACCCGTACTTGTTTGCCTCTCTTTCTACGGGAAAATAAAGAAACATGATTTCTGAAAAACTGTCGTCGTGGCGCCCCCGCGCTGTGCACCCGGGCGCCACCTTTCAGTTCCACTAGGCCAATCTGCGTAACGCTTCCGCCTCCACTTCGCTCGCACGCATCACTGAGCTTAACGATGACACGGAGTGATATAATAGACTGCCTGACCAGTGACCGCGGTCCCGCAGAGAAAGGCCACAACAATGCCATTGCCCTTCTTTGGGTAGGTTCACAACTATGAACTCGAAAGTCATTTCGCATGTCTCGTACAAACAATCTCACAAATGAGTTTATGGGCCTGAAGGTTTGTTATAAGCGAGGAACCAGACCCGACTCCTAGTTGTTTCGTGCGGTCAGATTATTCTTCAAGCGCACAACCATCACTATCAGCCCACCAGATAGCCGAGTTTTACCCAAGCTCCTTTTTTCTTTCTTTTTTCTGGAAAAATCGAAAGGGAGAGTGGACTGGAACGGCAGCCGTCACGGCCGGCATATCGTCTGGCACACCGCGGCGACCTTGGCTGGACGCAGCGCGCCGCACGCAACGCGTGGGTCACAGTGACGCGAAATGCATTATCCCTGGGACTGGTCCAGCCCTGCCGGGGGCGCCGGACGAACACCGGACAGGAAACGCCCAAGTGGGCAAATGTCGCACACTTGCAGGCGTGTTAAATTCCATTCGTACACTTGGAGGTGCAAGTGTGCGAAATTCTATGGAAAATTTACAACTTTGCCAGTTGAAAGTGTGTAAATTGGGATTCACATACCGACATGTATGTGCGACACTCACATTTCACCGAGCATTTCACTGATGAACGACCTAGTTTCCTAAACAACCGGTAAACACATGAGAGCGACAAGTTCAACACGTGCAAGTGTTCAACTCCGTAGTTCCTCAAATAACAAGCAGCGTATTTCAAAAACTGGAGGAGTGAGATGTCTTGCTCCTGGAAGAGCAATATCGTGCACCCGATTATATCACTCCTGGGAGAGAACTATTGCAGTCATTTTAGACTGTGAAAAAAAGTATGTAGGTTTACAGGAAAATTTTCCTTGACGCCAGTTGTAAAATTACAATTTGTAATCGTAAAAATACATGCAGTATTTTTACGACTTCAAATACATTGGCGAGTAAAAAATGTGCTCTCGTAAATTTACAACTTAAATTATAATTGAAGTTTACAAAAAAAAGGTAAATTTACGACGATATTTTTTACAGTGTAGACAACTTGCACAACTTGTAGTTACACACTTGCAGGTGTCTACCGATTGAGCACTTGGTTTATAAGTGTTGGGCCGTCGGCTGGAGCCGGACCAGGCCACCCGCGGGGACAACGTGTACGTCACGACGCGCCATCCCCCGGTGCGTGCGCTGGGCGCGTCGCATTGCTCACCCGCAGCCGATATGCTCTCCCAATCAGTCGCGCGGAAGCGGGGCGCAGAAGGGCCGGCATGGCGTGGCGAGGCGTCCCCGTGATTCTGTCCTACTTGAGTAGTGCGAGGAGGACCGCCCGGGTGCGTCGCGCAGAGTCGAGGAATATTCCTGGGCGAACGAGGTTGTGTCAACAGGCGTAATGTGGGGGGAAAAGGGAATTCGTTGTCACAGCTTCAGTATTCGCTGGTGATAAAACAGCCTATAGACAATAATTTAGAAATTTCCTTAGCTCTCATGAAGTAATTCTCACTTAAATTAAAATAATTCTAATCTAGCGAGGAAATCGAAGCTCGCCCTCCTGCAGGAGAGCGAGGAAATTTACTGCCACGTATCGCTCTCCTGGTCCTGAGGGCGAGAATCCTCGGTCCAGAATTTCTACTGTTAACAACTGAGAGGGGAGTATTAATTTCTTACAAACTAACAACCAGACTGTCACCGCAATGTTTCGTTAAATAGCTCATTCAGTTGTGCCAGTAATTACTTCGGTTGTGTTCCGATATCAGAGAGTATTACAGAAGAACTTTCATGCTCGTGAGCCCTCTTGTTCTCGAGCCCTGAAGCTCACCTCACCGCAACTACTAAAATGCCGATTCGTTTCTGTTCCAGACTGACCCAACTGCTACTTCAGCAAGGTACGTTTCCACGACACATCGCGCCCCTCTACTCCTCCTGTACTCTCTTCAAAGCAGCTCAAATTCCATGAGACGCGCCTCCCTTCTTTTTTTATCAAAAGCCCCTCCTCCTCCTCCTCGTGTTGTCAACAACAGGCGCGCGCATTCCCACAGTATATAATAGCAGCCCGCCACGCCCACGGCGAGCCCTTGCCCGTGATAAGGCGCGCTAATCAATAGGCATATGCACCGCGGACTCAAAGTGTTTTTCCTAACGCTCGTAAACGACGAGCAGCAGCTGGCCCGCGCGGGCGCCTTCTCCATGACGCACAACTCCTTTGTCGCCGTGCGGCGGCCTTCCTCGCCCCGGGGGGTGGGCGTTTAGCCGGGCGATAATGAAGCACAGCATCTCAAGGGGGTGGCGCTCGCAACCGGTCGTATGAGTGTGACCATAATGCAACATACGTGAAGGGGTCGCGCCGATTTGGGTCAGCCACATGTGGTCACTCATGACGTCTGCTCACCGCCACGCCACGCCGTGCGCACGTGGCGTTGGCACGCCCTGGCGATAGGTAGCGAAGTAGTGCCGCCCGGCCGGCCTTGCACATTACCTCTCCACTGTCACTCTCTGGTGCGTGATAACCAGCAGGAGCGCGCACCCGGGCAATAACCAGCAGATTGGAGCCCTCGCCGCTCGACTGAGCTCCGATAAGCCCCTCCCCAAGGGTTTGACCCGGCGAACACTTGCAACTGCACGACAAGAGAACACCCGGCAGTTAGAAAAAAATTGACACCTCAGCCCCATGCGGTTGCGGGGTGAACGCCTACGTCAGAAATATGAGTTGGGTTGATCTCACTCGTCGTCCCTGCCGTTCACTAATGTTTCCAGGAGAGAGAAAGCAAAGATGGACATGGCGCATGCAACCTCCGTAAAGAACGGAACCCAGATGGAGCTGCCCCTACCTTTAAGAAACGTACCAATGACCGAGAGGCACAACAAAGACGCAGAGGCGGACGAGTACGACCCGTTCGACCACCGCGAGGTCGATCACCCGCTGACGTGAGTAAAAATCGGTCACAGAGCCGCGAACCTGCCAAAGCCACCATTGAAAGGTGTCAAAACTTTTACACCTTTAAAAGGTGCCAAAGCTTTGTCACCTTTGAAATGTTCCAAGGCCAACCTCTGCTATTCTAAAGCAGAATCATATTTGGCGGCAATACTTAAACGTCTATCCCACAGAAATTTCGACGTGCTATTCCACATGATGAAGGCGTCGTGTGGCAGTGGCATCCTCGCCATGCCACAAGCCTTTTACCACGCGGGCTACATCCTGGGCCTCGCGGGCACAGCGGTCATCGGCTTCCTCTGCACGTACTGCGTCCACATTCTGGTGAGTGACGTCAGAGGAGCTCGGGACTCCCCCAGAGCCGTATCCCCGCCGGCTTGCTAACCAACCACCCTCCCTCCTGCTTCCAGATCCAGTCAGAATACGCAGTTTGTAAAAGACGTAAAGTGCCAAGCATGAACTACCACGAGATTGCGAGGGAATCCTTTCTAGAGGGCCCACCGATCATGCGGAAATTCTCAAAAGTAGCAGAGTAAGTAATATTTTTCGAACGATAAGCATTTACATCCAGCTCGCTCGAACTGTATTGCAGCAGATCAAGAACGGTGAACCACTGTTGGGTGTCATTTTTATCACTGTTTGACATTTCCTCCAGGGCATCGGTACATGTTTCTTTAGGTATATACGAGATTGGTGCGTGCGGTGCATACACAATTTTCGTCGCAAACAGTATAAAACAGGTAATGACTCTCTCCCCAGAAAAGTTCCAGCGAGTAAGCGGGTTGCCGGTTGCTTTTTGTCTGTATTTGCACTGAGACGTATAGTGAAGTTATCCCATAGTCACCTGTAACTCTAGTTGTCGAGCTTTAGACGGTACAGATCGTTTGATGTGTTGTCACTCTGCTTGCTAATGCTAATATGGTTTTCACCTTTAGTGCTCCTCCAATGAAACTAGAAAGTGGCGGTATACTTTGAAAATAATACTTAAGGCTACATTTCAATACACATGTGCCAATTTACAGGTCATCGCAAGAGAACGCAGTAATTTGTTATTCAATTAAAACTTTAAAACACTGGTTTTGGCACACGCCATTTACAACTGGTTTATTCTGTAGGTACACTGAACACGTCTTCCTGTGCATCTACCAGATCGGTACCATGTCGGTGTACACAGTGTTTGTAGCGAACAGTTTTAAAGTGGTGAGTAAAAAGTAGTCCTTTCTTCTCGAGAATGTTTGCTGCGCGGATATAATATATAGCAGCCCCCCAAAAAATTAAGACTTCAAAAAGTGTCAAAAAGGCGCAAAATAGCAATATAGAAGATAGGGACGAATGACGAATGTAACCTTGTATACTGGGAAAACCAAATTAAGAATTTTAGCATGCTTGTTGTGTTATGTTCTGCGCAAGTGCGTGTGCTTTATGTGGAATACTGATATTAGAAGGACCTTGCTAATCAAAATTATATGTAATTAAGTCTAAAACAAACACAAAAACAAAATAATTATCATTGTAGAATGCATAAAGTAAAACAGTCCTGTGTTGTGTTCCCTCTGTGTCCTGTTTAACACGACGCGCCTTACGCTTACGCACTCTGTATCCTAACAATTTTTTTACTAGCCATAACAGTTAAACATTAATTAAGATGCAATAGTAACAATTCAATTAACATTAACGTAATTGCAATAATTTTAAATCACTGATAATAGTTAATATTAATGTCTACAATTTGTGAGAGATGGCAAAAGTGCAAAATTGTCTCTAGAGAGCAAAAAGAGTAGGCTCTAGATCAAGTCAAATCAACAATCGTGAACATCAATCCAGTTTATCTGAAATGATTTTTAATATCTCATTACTTGTAAACAACGGCAATGGTTTCAAAAATCCGGCAAAGTAACAGCAACAAGCAAGCAGTTACGTTCAATAGTTATAAAGAAAAAAATGAGCAAAACGCCAAAATGAGGCACATTCTTCCGCGTCGCTTTACACTTTAGTAACTGGATTGATAGCTACTAGGTTTTAGTAAAGAAAAAGTTCCAACAATACTTCCTGTTAACAGGTGGCGGATCAGCACGGCACAGCTATCGACATTCGACTCTACATGTGTATGCTGCTGATCCCCCTCATTCTCCTCAACTTCGTCCGCAACCTGAAGTACTTGGCGCCACTATCCAGCTTTGCCCTCGTGGCCACCGTCGCTGCGTTCGGCGTCACCCTTAAATATGTTTTCACCGACCTGCCGCCACTCTCAGAGAGAGATCCGGTAGGAGAGGTACAAAACTGGCCACTCTTTTTCGGAACCGTCATCTTCGCCCTCGAAGCTATCGGTGTGGTAAGTATTGCTGTCTTCCGCTCAGTTCACCGTTTTAGGTCAGTGAGTTTGCAAAATTTTCGACACCAATGCAAACAGCGCAGGGATGCGCAGGCCAGCCGATCCTGTCGGGTCACGCCAGTTTTGTGTCAAGGCCACACATGCACAAGGTGGTCATGTCTGGTTAGCGACCTACGTAGTAGTGCCAAACCTGGCCGGGAGCCAGGGTTTCCTCCTTTTCGCATCCTCATGTCTTCCGTGCGCGAATCAACGCCCCTCCGAACCACGAAACCAGTCCGATTTATCAGAGTTCCTTGCAGACAGGCGAGAGAGCAATAAGACAGTAGTCCGATGGAGAGTTGAGGAGTTGGGGGGAGGGGGAGCACGAAACACTGAGAAGATGTGTCTGAGCGATCGGCTTCTCAATAGCAAACCGGTACACGGGGCACCGACAATGAATACCGGGTCCGAGACAATATCTTTCACCCGGCCGTCTATTTAAATAGCGCACGCAAAGAATTTCAAGGCCTTTCCTAGCAAAGGTGCCGGGAGAATGGCGGGAAATCGCACTGGCTCGTGTTCTACAACGCCGCGCGTAGCCGCGCTTGCCTTCCTGTTGGAGACAAGCGCGTCATCAGCTGGCCAGCGTGCGTCGCAATGCAGAGCCTGCTCTTGTGTCCAGGTCGTGCCCCTGGGCAACGAGATGAGGAGGCCCCGCAAGTACCTCGGCCTGACGGGTGTGCTGAACCGCGGTATGGTCCCCATTGTCCTCCTGTACATCTTCATGGGCTTCTTCGGCTACATCAAATACGGCGCCAAAACTACCGGCAGCATCACGCTCAACCTCCCCGAAGATGAGCTGTGAGTATTGCCTGCTCTGGTGCCCACCATGACTTCCCGAGCGACATCATAACCCCCCCCCC